GGAAAATGAAGAGACAAATAACGTATACTCAAACCATGGAATAGTGTGAGGGATGCTTTAAAAAGTTAGTGGGGGGCCAGCAGGTGGCGTGGTGGCTAAGGTGCTGGGCATTACCACAGGACTGACCACAGTCTGAGTCCCAGACCTGGTGGCTTGCTTTCCGGCTCTATCTCTCTCTTTGGTCAAATTAAAATAAACTATGAAAAATAAATAAATAAACAAATGAATAAATAAAATTACATAATTTTTGGAAAAAAAAAGTTTGTGGAAAGGGACTAGCAGATGGCATAATGCTTAGATCACTGGACTCCCACTTAGTCAACTGCAGTTTGAGTCCCAGACCCAGTGACTTGAAACTCATGCCAGGAGCGTGTGCGTGCGTGCCCAAGATCCTGAGAGGAGAATGGAGGAGAAGGGACTGCAACGTTGCCATTCCCCCCTGGAGGATGATTTTGTGCTTTCGTCTCTGTCTCTCTGGTGAGCACACTCACCCCATAGCGAAAATCTCTCTCAAAAAAAAAAAAAAAGTTTGTGGAAAAAGAGAATTAAAACCCGAGTTTATTTTGGTGCAAAACATGTTAAAAAGCCATGCATGGGTTTTTCACAATACACAGTTTCCTTAAACTTCTTGAAGACCCTCTGTGCAGTGATGAAAAGGAACAAACTGCCAATTAATACAACATGGCTGGGACCCCCTCATTGGGCACGATGGCTAAAGAGTGCTTAGCTAATGGAGCCAAATAGCACATCTGCTTCTGTCAGGCAAGGTCCGACAGGCAAAGGTAATATCCATAAATAGAAATCCTTTCAGGGGTTACCTCTGGGGCACTGGGGCAAGTGAGGGAGGTACACCTTCTGAGGGTCTGGAAACATTCTCCCTCTTACTGTGCGTGGTAGCATATAAACCTAAGCATATGTAACCGCACACTTCAGGTTGTTATATGCCACCATTTAAAAAAAGACAAAAGAGAAGTCTTAACTGGGGCGGGAAATCATATGCAAATACCCAAGGACAGACCTGACTGCAAAGTAAGTGTCCTCCTTGGGGCCGGCAAGTGGCATGGTGGTTAAAGGCGCTGGGCTCCCACATGGCCGACCATGTTTCAAGTCTTGGAAATGGTGGCTTGCTTGCTCACTTCCTCTCTCTCTCTGTGTCTCTCTCGCATCAACCTGGAAAATAATAATGATAATAATAATAATAATAATAATAAAGTTAAATAAAAATAATTCTTTAAAAAAAAAAAAGTGTTCTCAAAGCAAATTGGAGGAAAAAAGCCCCTGAACGGCCCTCAGGTAAGTTTTTCTTTTCATTTTTTTTTAGAATTATTTTATTTATTTACTTATTTTATTTGACCAGAGAGGGACAAAGCAAGAGAGAGATAAAGAGAGCATGGGAGAGTGAGAAAGCAAGCAAGCCACCACACCAGGTCTGAGACTTGAACTGCAGATGGTCATGTGGGAGTCCTGTGCCCTTAACCACCATGCCACCTGCTGCCCCCCCCCTTTTAAAGAGAGGTTTTAGCTATAGGGCATTGCGCTTGCTGAAGAGACAGAGAGAGACAGAAAGCAAGAAATCACCTCCTGGGGAAACGGCCATACAGCAATTCCTTCTTCATTCTCCTCTCGGGATTTGGGGCATGCATCTCACGTGCCCCACATGAGTTTCAAGCCGCAGGGTCCAGTTGAATTGAGGTTGGCCATGTGGGAATCCAGGGAAATAGCTATTACATCATATGCTGGTCCCTTAGGTAAGACTTTTTTAAAATAATTATTCTATTTAACTTTATTTATTATTATTATCATTATTTTTTTCCAGTTTGATCTGAGAGAGACAGAGAGATAGAGAGGAAGTGAGAAAGCAAGACACCAGGTCTGAGACTTGAACCATGGTCGGCCATGTGGAAGTCCAGCACCTTTAACCACCATGCCACTTGCCAGCCCCTAGGTAAGATTTTATTACCACACTTGGTAGCCTTATGGATTTTTCACAACTTTCAGCATTTACAAACTGTTTTGTTTTTGTTTTAAGGTTTTTCTCATAGGGCATGTACACTTGCTGGAGAGAGACAGAGACGGAGAGAGGGAAAGTGAGAAATCACCGTGAGAGGGAATGGCCATACTGCCATCCCTCCTCTTCCATTCCCCTCTTTGAATTTTAAGCATACATGCATGCACTTGTGCCCAGTGTGATTCTCAAGTTGCCGGGTTCAGGACTTGAATCATTGTCAGCCATGTGGGAATTCAGTGTCTTAACCTCTACACCACTTGCCGGCCCCCCAAATTATTGATATCACAAACTGTAATAGAGCTAGTTCTGCCTTGCTTAGGCAAGAGAGGGTGGATATTGACAAGTTCAAGAATTAATCTTGTCTGTTACCCACCATGACTCTAGTGGCCTCATATCAAATTCTTTTGGGAAGAATATTGAGAGCGTGAGGACTGGTTTCAAATGTGGTTGACATCCCCTGTCTTTCCTGGACCTTAAAAAAATAGTAAAATCGGCTTCCTGGCCTAGGTGGTTCCCTGCCAGCAGTCAACAGCTTTTAAAACTTTAGAGACTAGCAGGTGGCATGATGGCTCAGGTTCTGAACTTCCACCTGGCTGACTGCAATGCAAGTCCTGGAACTGGCAGCCTGCTTTCTCACTTTCCCTCTTTTCCTCTTTTTCTCTCTCTCCCTGCCTTGTCTCTCTCCCTGTCACTCTCCAGTGAGCGCAAGTGCCCTATAACATTTTTTTAATTATAATAAGTAAATCTTTAAAAATAGACAAGGGCCCAAGAGTATATTATGATATTCTTATCAAAAGTTCTCGGGACCAGCAGATGGCAATGGTTATGTTGCTTGACTCCCACATAGTTGACTGCGGTTGGTTTCAGACTTGGTGGCTTAAACCTCACGCCCGGTGCATGTGCGTGCAAGCCCAAAATCCGGAAAGGAGAATGGAGAAGGGATTGGAGCACAGCCATCCCTCCAGGGGGATGGGGTGGGAGTGTATGTGACTTCTTACCTTCTGTGTCTCTGTCTCTGTCTGTCTCTCCAGTGAGCCCACATGCCCTATAGCAAAAATATCTCAAGAAGTCAGGACTAGGCCTCCATAGGCAGCCATGGCGCCCAGCCAGAATGGCATGATCCTGAA